AGTAATAAAGAATTAACCCGTCCCCTCGTCGCTGAATACTTTCAGCCACTACATCGTCGATATTTATGATGTTGAAATATTCCCCAAATGCCCGGATCAATGTTAATGGCGGGTGCTTCTAATACTCAGGTGTACCAACACTGACCTATTAGGACCATGGGCTTAGGAAATATTCATATATTGCCATGTTTCCAATCGACATCTCACATCAACAATTCAGCCCAAATATGTGAACACTTCAACATAGGTTTAGAATGTCACTGGTTCAATTGGATGCAAATAATTTAGTTCAAAATTGACATAAACTTCGGATTATTACAAGATTGTCTTGAAAATAACACGTATTAATTTCCAGTTTATGAAGGAAAATATGAACCTATCTTCGGCGTTGAAGAATAGTCTTAAGTGATATAGCCAGCTTCAGTGATCCGTTCGCCTAATTTGCCTTTTACGCCCAATTCAATCTGCTTCGGCAGATAATCAAGAGTGATTAGTCTCTCCCGTTGATGTTTCATGTTCGAATATGACGCTTATTCCAAAGTGTCTTATATAATTTCTAGTAAAGAAAATATTGAAAAAAACATATGGTGCACCACAGGTGTCAAAGGTAACTTAATTTCCGTAACGTTTAAGCAGAATGTTGTGGAATCAACGTCATTTGACGTACATAGCGCCGGAGGCGTATGACGTTCAACGCTTGTAACACGGGTCGTTGACGGTACTGGCGGCAGCCCATGGGGACCTCTAGCCACGGTGCGCTACCCGCTTTCAGCCGGAGGAGAGGATTTGTTGCAGGTTTAATCGTATTATGGAGTGTCTTTTGTGAGCAGAAATGTAAACATGTGTTCTGTGCGGTTGTTATGGTTCGATCACTTTCATTGACGCGGTAATCTGGCTTTCTTTGCAATCTTTACCCCAATCGCCCCCTTGGGAATTTATTTGTTGTAGCTTTTATTGTCCTTCAAAGTGGGTCCATTTTCTGTGTTGCGATGCTTTATATTACCCCATGAATGCGTTTTATTGGACACGTGTTTACGGAGGGGGGCAAATAATTAAGCTTATGATTTCGCATCCAATCTCTCTGTTAGCACTCAGATCACAGAACTGTCCTGGTTGGCTTATTTGTTATTTTTTATTGTTATCCCTATGAGGAAGACCGAGAGGTCGCTATCATTGTTGCTACCACCCCTAGTTGTTTCTTCATTTTCACCAAATTAAATGATTCCCTTGACTAGTAAGGATTAAAGCTGCGATTCACACCAAGCTACGATATCTCTTTGATGAAAGGAAATTGGTCATCACAAAAATGCTATCATCCTACACCTGTTGATGACTTTGAAATTGGAGGAAATTTTCTTTTGATTGGTCTTTATTCTCATATCCCAACCGACCCACAAGACGTTCTGAACCACACAGCGCCAACTATCAAAGCCTGCGTTTATTTCCAGGACAAATATTTATATATTTGTAGAAATTTGATTAAATCTTTGTGACCAGAAGCCACGTCTTAGGAAAGAATGTTTCCCGCACAACTAGCAATATCACACTTAGTGATGCGCGCTCTCTTTGATGGCATTGTCAACTAGTTAGAAAGGTGTTTCACACTTCTCTGATTTCTTCAATATAGGAGTATCTCTCACCCTTGTGGGTTATATGGACAACAATGGGTGGCAATACACCGGTTTTTGATTTACATATTGATAGGATGAAATAAAACCATAATTTACCTTTCATAGTATTTATGAAGCGCGAAAATTCTTTAATCTTTTTCATATATTTAATGAAGATTTTCTATGTGATCCTTGGGTACGAATTTATTTGTGACTTTCATTTCATTTTGAATCAATTTACGTGTGCTGTTGTCACTATACGAGGCCGTTATGGGATGAAATGAGAAATATTTGCTTGTGACGAACAGGTCAGCCAGTTCACAAAAGAACCGGTAGTCCTTCTATAGAAGGCTTGTTCATACCTTCAATAAGCAGTAATAGGGAACCTGTTAAGTCCATTGAGTGGAATGACGTAAATGTGTGTTCATTTATGTCAAATTCAACATGAGTGAAGGAAAGTATTTTTTCGAGCCACTTCAACAGTTATTTGTCCGTTTGATCAATCTTTTCATTCCTATATCATACAGTTTATATTAATAAATTTATTTTCTCAATCATATATCATATCGTTTATTTTGTGCAAAGGAATATTTAACCATGAACAAAAAAATACATAAGAAACGTTCTTCTTTACAAGTCGAATCAGAAAATAGTACTTTGCGATAAATAATAGTTTAATTAATATCATCAAATGTAAAGTGTGGTTTATCACTGGTAACTGACTGATTACTACAGGGACTAAAGTGCATTTACCCAGAAATATTTCAGAGAAAGCGAAAATACCCCACGTACATAAATCTGATTGTGCCTTGATTTAGGATAAACAGTATTATACTGTCGGTATTATAGAGTGGCCGGTTCATATGATTGGATAGCGCCAGGCCTGTAGGCGAGCTCAGTCGACTAATGAGCATCCGTGGGCGGTCACTTGCGCTGTTGAAGGCTGGTCCAACAGCATGGTGGTATACAATACTCCCCTGGAAATTTATTTTTTGCCCGAACTCGGATTTTTCTGTATTTCATATATTTCAGAAAGCAGAATTTCATTTCCGATATCATTGAACACTTGGGAAACGTAAATTATTAAGCACCGGATTGTGTGTTATTTTCCAAATGTCATCCACTAATATTAAGATCCGATTTATCGGCGAAAACAAAATACTTCTTTTGTAGAGAGCTATGCAATAATAATGAATTCTTCGGTGTTGAAAATGTGGAATCATAAATTTCACCACCCTGGGAATTGTGTCTGTATACTATGGTACGGTTTCAACACCACCGTACATAAATTGACGAAACTTAATACACATCTTAAGAGATCCCCCATTGACCTGATATTCAAGGCAAGTGTCAGTTATGGTACTGGAGGATGAACATGAATGTATCCCCCACATTCCTAGACATCGATGCAACTTCCATCTCTGTGAAACGACCTCGTAATACTGTTCACCATAAAACTAATTCTTATATTTCCTGGGTTTGGCACGTTAGACAGGGAATGACAACATTTAGAAAATTAGGATACAATATATGAGGGCCAAAATTGCGAATTATATATTACTGCTTAAATTATACAGTGGGAGTTATTAAGAATAGTTGTGATGTGAAGAGAAATCTATTGTGTAGCGATATTTATTGCAATATGAATATTCATTTGTACGGAGTATATGGTGATAAAATAGACACAATTTATGGATAACAACTTTTTTTAATTCAAGTATATAGTGATGCTTGATTTTAAAAAAACACACGCTTAAGCGATTTTCGAAAAAAGGGTATATGAAATATCATCTCTCTGGAGTTTCAATATCTGAAATAGTTGTCAATGTAATGTATCATTATTCGATGTCAAACATTTTTGGTTTACTAAAGAACTAAGATGTCAGCTTTAAAACTGTTGCCGAATCTTTAATAAGAATATGGACCAAGAGGGATTTCTTACTTTCTACAAGCGTCTAACTGATAGATTTGAAGGGTTCGATTGCACAAATAGAAATGCCTCAGGTCATACGTACGTTAGTCTATACTCTACCTCAGTGCATTAACGGGGGCGGTCGGGTAGCCTAGTGGTTAAAGCGTTCGCTCATCACGCCGAAGACCCGGGTTCGATTCCCGACATGGGTACAATGTGTGAAGCCCATTTCTGGTGTCCCCCGCCATGATATTTCTGGAATATTGCTAAAAGCGGCGTAAAACTATACTCACTCAGTCAGTGCATTATCGAGCCCATCTGTGTTCCAATCCGATTATTATGGTATGTGAACGTTTAGAGTTTAAAATTGAACAGTCTCACTCACACATGTAGACTTTTCTCATATTTCAATTCTCAGCACAGAAATATATTTGTACAATGTATAATTAATGTACCGTATTTAAGGAGATTTTGTTATATACAATGTACTCTGATTGAATATTTTATGCTTCCCTTTTATGGGACGTACATGAGATCCATAGTTCCAGACTGATACTGTATATATATTAATACTTTCCCCTATATTCTTTTCCACATCAACTTCAGAAAATAAATATTTAATATCATACGAAATTTGAGAAATCATATGAATAAATGTCCAATTTGAGATTAACAGATGCAATTTATCAAGTGATGGTTCTAAGGCCATTATTGAAGACTATATGATCACCTGAAGAAATATAATGTGTGAATTGGAATCCTTCTACTGAGTGTACATATACCATGTTATATTGGGATAAATGTGTTGCCTTTTCCTGTGAGCATAACATATCATCACATACTATGCAGTTCCAGGATAAGATATCAGAAAGGATCACATTCATTCCAATAAAAAATGCCAAACATTTTAAATTTTGAAATGCATATCTATGCTGACATAAAAGAACTTACATTGATATTTGCAACTTTAGGGATGAAAATCAGAGCAAGTTGTTATGTTATATCAGAATGCTTCATGATAAAATATTGTCCTTGAATCCCAAGCACAAACTGTGTATTTTGTTGTAGTAAATGTAGTCATCCATCATTTTGATTTTTAATTTTGACACACAGATATATTTTAGTTTGAAGAGAAAATGTAGAGATTCTTAACAAGAACAAAATGGAATGTTAAGTTTATGGGAGATGATACAAGGCAAGATTGGAATGAGAAAATTCAAAAAGATTATAAGAAGTTGAATGTGGAATTTATACAGAAAACAATTCCAAAGCATTCTATATGTACACAATAGCTGAAGAATGCAGTGCGTTAAGAACCAGCTTTGAATTTGCTATATATACCATCAATGACCTCATGTATGCCATGTGGCTTTCTCAACAACTCTATTTTGAAGTCATACCTGTTTGATTTCACACTCATATGTTCATATGCAGATTAAACTCTTTTCAGCTTTTAAAATATATGATTATTCTTTCAGCTTTATGAACTCAGTGATGACCCAAAGAGAAAAGAATTTCTAGATGACTTGTTTGCCTTTATGCAGAAGCGAGGTATGTGATTCTTTTAACAGTGACATCCTTTCTCTCATGTTATGATTGTGTCCAGCCACATGCTTCCTTTTCTCCATCAGTCCACAACTAGCCCCTCATCATAACCACCATCCAAGACTCACCATCATGCACAGATAATTAGGTAACATGCTTGACATGCTCTCCAATCATAAATTGAATGCTTTCCATTGGAGTAGTTAACCTAAAATGTATTCTGTTGAACACCGTTTCATCAGATGCACATTTGAAAAGGAAAAATGTATAATTTATTCAAAAAAACATACAGGTGAGGATTGAGTTTGATGGCAAGTCAAGTTTCATGTTGGAATGTGGGATTGGCAATAATACTAGGCTGAAAGATCGTAATCAAACTGAATTACTCATCTGAGTATAGATCTTTGTCACATAAATGAAAAGTAAATGCATACTGACATGTAACCGCTGTTGTAATGCAATAATTATGGATCAACCATTTGTGACAAATGGGCCTTCCTATGAAAAATCAAAGAAAGTGTCTTAATTCATTAGGAAGTAAGGGGCATAACTTTTCATCTAATGTCCAACTCTCTTTTATTTTCTGGAATAAATGTAAGGCTACTTGGTCCCGGCTTCTCCATGACATTATTGTATTGTATTCAGTTAAATCGGAAAATTGACTCTAATTTTGTTCCACTTGTCAAGATGTGTATTGTTTGTGTTGTATTAAAATGGCCATTAAAGTGTCTCATTTCACACTGTAATAACCTGGACAGGTAGAGCCACACCTGTTATCACCTGTATTGAGATCGTTAACTCACCTGGTGTACCTGTCTCGTCTTCAGCGATCTGTGGTGTATGGTATTTGTCTTGATAATGACCACCACCTTGTCAGGGAATACTGCCATTAAGCACACTGTCTTTTAATCAACGATTGATATTGACGTGATATTTACATGATATTGACATGACATTGACATGATATTGACATGACATTGACGTGATATTGACAACAGTCAAAGCATACATATGGTTGAAGTGTTATTGGTACGAACAGTTGAATAAATATAAAGGTGTTATACCAATATCATTAGTTATGAAACATATTACCCAATAATCCAAATAATTTGCAATATACAAAAGGTTCTATAAATTAAGTCATACCGAAGACAGACAAAATCATAATTAACATGAAATAAACCAATATGAAATGCCATCATTCATATTACATGTATATAAATCATATACAAACTATATGTGTATAAATATTTGAACCAAAGTTTATGGTTTTAACAGTTTTCCCATCATGAATTTAAATGAACTGAACCTAAAAGTAGAATATTGCAATGGCTCTGTCTAAGAATGTGTACTTTGTTCTTAAAATGCTAAACGTTATGGCTGTTTCCGCAATGTATGGAAAAAGGCAAAAAATACTTCATACATCAGTGTTTGTCAAAGGCAATCATTCAATCTGATATACACAGATCATTTAAGGGTTTCCCTTTAGGAGCATAATCATGATTTGGATGAATTATTTATTATTCTTTCTCTTTTTCTATAACAATGTACATTTAATTGCTATCATTTTTCTGCTCATAAAGGGCAACTTAATGTTCAGGACAATAGAAATGATAATTGAATATGTAGGGCACACCATATGTACCGTACACTTTGTCAATTTCCGTATGTCATGTTTTCACTGTTATTATGCTAATTTCACTATTCTTTATGGAATTCAGTTCTCATATGATGTGGTGGTCTAAAATGAGGAAAGGTTAATCAGATCTCTCAATCATTTGTCTTACTGAATGTTTGCTTTGTTTTAGAATAAACGTGTGCAGTGATTGTTATGCATAGAGATTACTAATAGATGTTGGATGAGGGTACTCGTGCTGCTGTACATATTCTTATAAGGCCAACATTAAATGTATATTAAATCACCAAAACAGTGGAAAATTCTTATTCTTATCCTTTTTCCTATTCTTATTCTTCTTATTATTAAATCAATGAAAAATTCAAATTCTTATTTTCATTCTTATTCTTATTCTTATTCTTAATTGCACATGGAATGTGAATGACAACATCGTAAATTAATAAAATATCATATACATTGAGGCAACATTTACAAATTGATTTTGTTTTATTCACGAAATACATACACATTAATTTTTCAAATATTCATAGGCTCATAAATTACTTGTATCTCAAATTACATTTCTGTTGAGGGAAGAAGTTGGGTTTTTTTAATAAATAAGCGTTTCTTTCATAGTGACATATGATCAATTGACAAAGAAATCAAGATCGTTAACTTCACCCTCACCTCAACAAAACATCAATAAAATAAACAATAAATGGATATATAGGTGAGTCTCTTAAACACATTTTCAACACAAACATGATACTCTGCAAATGTATTATTTTGAAAGTTGACAAGGTCAGGTTTTCCTGCAATGACTAAGAGTTAGAAACAGTTCATTTTACACTGAGTCAACCTTTACCTGCCTTGCCTGCGTCCGAGTGAAGTGTTAGGGTGCAAATTGTAAACGGCACCCACAAACACAATAAGGGTCAGCAAGAATTTCTTTTGAGAGCTCCTGATCACTGACTTCAATGAATGGGATTAAATAAATATTGCCAGTCATTAGAGATAGGCATGTCTCAGTACCATAACTTGCCAGACAGCTTCTCTTAATAGGCACACATCGTGTTAATTTGATACTCCTCTTATTCAAAGAAAGCGGCCTTTCTCCATACCCCTCTTGCAAAAAGTTAGAGTTGATCCTTTGCGATCAAGTTGATCGTCGCAGAGATAAGATGCACACCCCGATAGTGACATAGATACAAGGCGGGTGACAGATGATCCCTAGGCCCAGTCACATTTCTTACCTGTGTCGATTACGCTTTATCACGATACGATTCAGCCCCATTAAGTCCTATGAGAAGCTTGCTTGTGAACCTCTATTGTTGGTGGCTATAGCGATGTCAACATAATTTGCGTTCACTTGATCACGCTAGACCGATGGATGTTTCCGAGCTGAAGAAAGGCTGAAATCAAAGCCTTAGCGTACTATTAATCATCAAGAACAGTGCCAAGAAGAGATATCATATTAAAGTCTTACTAGATTCACTTGGAATTAAAGGCCTATCTGAACCATCTCTAGACATTAGATGTTCAATTGGCTTAATCCTTAGTGTTTGGGGCGACATCAATGCTAGACAGTGTTCTGTCCGACACATAGATAATTGAAGCTAGATACCCACGTTGAGTCAAATTTTATGTTCAATTACAGCTTATCTCCATGAATTAGGATATCATTTCATTGCATGCTTGTGATATCAGGCGATATATTTCATGACATCAAGACCACTGGTACATTTCATTGCCCATGGAAAAAAAATTCTCTAAAGAAACTCTTTCATGTGTAGATATCCAGCATGTGTTCCTAATTGTATATTGACGAACATGTGATAGGTCATAGATCTTGTCATATCGTGTCAACATTGGCGAACAATGTGTTCACACAGACAGGAGGAAACAAGAGATTTTAATATGTTAATGTAATACCTCATAATGACATACATATCTTTATGAATCTATGCTTGAAAACAACACTCTTAACCTAAGCAAATTCCATTGAAATGTGTTAGATTTTTTTAAAGCTAATTATTGTAATGTACATGCTTGTTCAAAAATACTTTTGACATGAATTTTGAGACAGTTATGAATTATTATATTACTAGATGTATGCATAGTAAATATACTTTTGGGAAAAAGAAAGATTTTTCAGTGGGAGATTGATTACCATAAGTAGTTTCTCATAATGACAACTACATGTTGAAATTCTTCAGTAATGGACAATGTTTGAGGCATTTCTAGAATTGAGCTCGCTATTTGCTCAATAAAATGCTATAATTAGCGGTGAAGACAAGGTAGTGTCTAATAATTAATGAGGGAATGCTACAAAGGTATTACTCTTCGTAGTATAAATCTTGTTTTGCTGTTTCAAAAAATTAACGATCCTTTAATGAAGACAATATCATCTAATGACAAGAATATTGTGTAATTAAATAGCCTAATCATCACTATAAAGAGGGCTGCTAATCTGCCTAATTATTGCAAGTCTGTTAGTTGGTTATCTGAGTGTAATCAGCATGGGATGATTGCAATACACAAGTGAAATAAACATGATGGACTGAAATAGACGACAATGGAGTCGAGTGGTATTAATCACAATAGCACTTGTGTACAAAACGTCTTGGACGTTCATCATCTTTCATTGATGTATTTTGCTGAACATTTATCATTAAAACTTGTAATTTTTCTATGGGCGCTGAGAATGGACACTGACGACATTCACAGAACCAATTAGTGGTCAAAAATCAGAATTCACTGTTACACAACAGATCATTTTGGAAAAATAATGATAACGCTTTAAGAATGGATGCCATCTATTATTTCTTATACATTGTCATTAGTATAAATATTGTTATGTCTTTCCTGTAAATCAAAGAAAAAAAGATATTGAAAACAAAAACTTTGCATACTGCTTTGGTAGTTTTGATTCCTGGTACAAAAACACAAATGCCATGATGTAGATTATACATTGTCAGATTTCCATATTGATGTTTTGTTTCATATGATTATTTTTGTTAGATGTAGTTAATCTGAATTGCAAGCACAAAAATATAAAATCCATCATGTTTCATATCTTAATAATCTATAAGTATTGAAATATGTATTGACTTGCTGACCGTGAAATAAAAAGATATAATTAATTCCAAATTGATAACCTGATAATTTCAACAAATACACAATTGAAATTTGTATAAAAACCATTAATCAACCTTTGAATGATTCGGCTGCATTAATGGAACCAAATCGGCTATGTATATTTCCGATATATACATTTCTTTCTGTTGTATATCAGGGTTCAACAATAGGTTATTGTTATTCAGAAAATTTGTAATTTCACGCAGGTAATATTTCATTGTTAATCCATCTGATTGTTTGATTAATTACACAC